CCCGGAGTTCCAGAAAATAAATTGCTTTGACAAAGTTGATAATATGAGTATATACATCATAACTATTATGTTTCCGCAAAGGATTAAGTTTCTATTTTGTATCATATATATGGATAAAAAAATATATATTTATGAATTTTTATTATAATAAAATGGTAGTTCTTCACAGTAGAATAATGTTAATGTTAAACTGGTTAGAACTGTCTCTAAAATGAGAGTAATATAATAATACTTTTCATCGTGCAGTCCTACAAATTTTTAAATAATCTTCCACTTATAATTGAAATGAAAGAAGGTGCTACCTTGTAGCAGCGACAAGATGGAGCTGGAACACAATCTTTCAGTTCGTCCGCGTGGGAGTAAAACGCGGCCGTCCCGAGCTTCGTGGAAAGAGAAAAAGAAGATACACCTAATAAAAGGTTGCTAAATGTAGACTAAACAGCACTTGTCGAAGTGTTATTTGTATCGAAAACTGGGGAGGAAGGGGCTATCACCGTAAGATGTGGGTGTCGGAGTGAGAGAAAGTGCAAAGTAAGAAGGAATATTATAAACAAATTCACAAGAGTTGAGCACTAAAAGTCAGACGGAGATATAGTGATTTGGTTGGAGTTTGACCTCTGCTGTCCTAAATTATCACTCTCTTTGAGGCACAAAGAAAACAAAGGAACAGTGGTTGCGGTGGTGGTGGACGCCGGGTGCCTGCAGGTTTCGAAGACAACAATAGTAACATGGGGCCTAAAGTCGGCCAGTGGCAGCCAGGCTGCGAGGAGCCCTTGCAGGGCCAAATCAAACGACAAAAAGCTTGAGAAAATATAGGTTCGGATGGAGGCTAAGGTGACCCCATGAACTTAGGAGTCTACCATCGAGGCCGCAATAATCAGGCTTTCATCAACCACTAACACAGTGCTGGTTGTTGTGGAGCGGTGTGGGGTGGAGAGGACTTTCAGAGCCCAATCAGACCACAGTAAGCACCATTAGCCCTACCTTGACCAGCCGAGCTTTTGGAGCTTGTCGTGCTCACATTTCCTATTCCAGCACAAACACATGGGTATCATTATTGTTTGTTTGTTGTTGTTTTTACTCTCGAACATTACATACCGTGGCCAAAACTCAGACGACAGCCAAGATTGACGAACCCTGCATGATTTATTATATTCACATGTTTTCGAATGTTAGGCGAGATAGTGGAAGTGATTTGAGCTCCTATTTGACATTTACAGTAACTACTCAATAAAGTTATTTATGATAGTCTGAATTGAAGTTACAGCCTGGATAATCCCACTGCGCACTCGAGAGAATAGAGGATTGTGCATGAGTTGTCATGGTCGCATGTTCAAACCTTTATATGGAACCCTAAACTCAACTCTACCCATAGAAGACATAGGTCAATCAACAATACCACCGGGCCTAAATTGGCTCTCAATGTCAAAAAGCATTGATTGAGATCAATCGTGTACGCGCACAACGAGCTTATATAAACATTATAGATGAAAAAAATAAGCACTTTGAATAAATTAAAGTTGCGTGCTCTATTTGCAAATTGCAGTTTCCTTTCCTAATATGTAACGAAGCCTATGGTAACAGTCTTTACAAGATATTTCAGCATGTCCTATATATACCCTAAATCAATTGTGGATGAGTTGAAGAATACCATAAGATTAAATTCAGATTTAGTAACTTACCTTCCTGACGTCCAAATGCTTACAGGCAGTGACGCTTATGGATAACTCCATGAAGCAAATAAAGATGCTATTTTTTTTTCTCGTCTACCATTAGTTTTCCCTCAGAAAAATATCCAAATCCCTCCGTAACATGTTACACCTTTGACATATTTAAGTGAAAAGAGTTTCAAGTTTCATGCACAAGCTTTATTGGATAGAGTTAAATACCGCGAACGACTGTAATAGATTAGGTCTAGTTAAGACACATGAAGCAACACTCATCTGACAACAACCATTGTGGCAAACGCTAGCTCACGTTTCTCTCTTTTGAAAGATTTATAAATTCAACTGGTGTTGATAAGAAACAAGAGGTTAGAATACGCGAAAATCTAGGTGACTGTTGAAATATCGAACGTAGTATCTGACATTTGAATCGACGTTCTTGTTTCGAATATATGAAAGTATGGCTTACAAGTCTCTTCCAAGATCTTTTGCAGAAAATTCCAAATACATTTCTTACAAAAGAGTAGAATTTCTTATTATCTGAATGTTTTCGCAACCTTTTTGTGTACCAAAAGAGTTATAGGATAGCATGGATAGGATCGTTAGACTTTGTCTTGGATCTAGTGATTAGCCTGTATGTTTGATTATCAGTACTGACAAGAAGTGTAAGAGCCACAAGATACCACTTCAGGGAAAAGGTACTAACAGAAAAAGAACTAAATCAGTAGCAAAATAAGGTGTTTTTAATTTGAATGACAATAGTTAGTACGATGTTATTCCGAAAGACATATGTACAATGTCCAAATTGCTCACATCAAACAAATTATAAACAACAAAGAGCTTACGCTTTATTTTGTCATGTATTTTTTTAATTTAAGAAGTAATTTTTTCCAAATGATCCACAATTAAGTTCTAACTAAAATAAAAAGTACTAAACATTTAATTTACAACAAAAAAATGTGATTTCGCATTCACTAACTAATCTAGTGAAATATATATTCACATCTCTAAAGAAAACGGAAAGATAATGTCTTTCTACTGAGAGACTTTGTTGCTATCGTCACAAACGTACATGATAGGTGAATATGGCAAAAAAACTAAGAAAACATCATCAAATTCAGGAATTGCCATTCACCACTAAATTGACAGAACCCTTCAATAGAAGAGTATTTTAAAGAGAATATCCACCACAGTGTGAGCTTATTGCCGTGACGTTCCCTTCTCAGCTAACTTGGCAGTATAGTGTAATCAACGAATTTGGTAAGCACCAGGGAAGGATTGCTGAAGTGCTCCAATTCTTCAGATGAATGAATACGGACATGAACTGAACCCAGCGAGGCGTGTTATCAAGGAGGAAATGCAGATAAGGAACCATGCTAAGCAAAGCCCACTGTCCTCCTAAGAATCAGATGAATAGATATCGACCAATCAAGGCACTGCATGTCAAAGATCCAAGGCCTTCGACACATGGAATCCCAAGCTCTTGCGTGAAATTTCCGCTCTAAAACTTGGATTTCACGAGATTGCGCAATTCCTGGCCATTCTGACGTTATCAATTCCCACCGGAAACTTTGACCAGGCACGGCGGATGCGGTTTGTCCTCGAACCAAGTGAGAGTTAATACGTCTGAAATCACATGAACATGACCGAGAGGTTGCCGGATATAGTCTTCACATGATCTATATTCCTGGATGACTAGCCCAAGTCCAAAAACATAAGGTTACGCATTGTTTGTCACTTCAGTATAAGATTTAAATACACTCAGGAATTTTTTCTACCAATAGTATTTGAGTCATACAAAAGTGAGAACGCTTGCTTGAACACACTTGTGAGAGAAGGTGATACCCCACCATATGTGTAGATTATTTTGTAATCTATCAAATGTCATGTGTTGACATTACTCCATGAGTAACATCAGTTACTCGTAGACATAGATAATGATAAGTTGGATATTTTCTTGCTATTTGGATAGATTTTGACTTACATAGTTCAAAAGTTACAGGTCAAATTGTATATATATTTCCTTTAGTGATACTATTGTCACCTAGCCCCTTGTTACCTATTTAGTTTCAACCCTGTAAGACTTGATAGTATATGACATCCTTTTTACTAAATTACTCGGTCCACCAATTATTATTATTTTTCGCGTGGTCATGTGTCAAGTAAAATTTTCGAACTAAGGAGACAAAATTTCACAACATTTTGTCGATCTAAGGTGGAAGTCAAGAAAGAGACGATCAGATAAGTTTTAGCAGAATTTTGTGAGTTCAATGGCCTTGAAGGAGGTTATGTCTGGCTCATCGCACGGCGCGGATGATCGGACCATCACTGCCTGAATCCGGTCAAATGGATCGCATTATGTGGAGAAAGATTCCTTCTTGATCCGGCGGATCTTGACCTAATCCGAATCTATGACTGGTCTTGTTTGGCGATCGAAGAGCCACATAAGATTCTAAGTTCTACCCATGGTTATATGCCTGATCCAGTGGTCTGGAAGAATGTCCCAGACGTGCGACGAATTGCAAGAGCTTTGAGTCAAGATCCGGCGGCTTATTGCGTTTCTCTTTCTGGCAACTAACAAAGGCAGTAATTGGCGTAAGACAAAGTTTCTTTAGCATGTTTGTCCTCGTCATGCGAAGCGTTACGGTTTTGGATCATACCTCTTACATCTTTACAGGATGTGAAACGCATTCTGATTTGTTTGCTCAATATGGACACATGAAATGCTATTCGGCTTCAGTCCCAGGCTTTCCAGCGCACCTCAGACATCGGCCTCCTTGTTTCTCTCGGAGGATTTTCGGTGACTCGGCAATTCAGTCCCCAGTGATTTCTTCCAACTTTAACGAGAATAAGTTACCTGGATCTATGAGGGATACATATGTCTGAATCATTTCAATCCAAGGTTTTGTCTTGAGTTATACTATAAACCTCGATAATCTTCATCAAAATTTGCCTACCTCCAACATTTATTCGTGTTGATTTCCTCCGGATTCATGTATCTCTAAAATGAAGATTTTGCATTCACTTGTATCCTCTTCTTTGGGGGAGGGAACTTTGCGTGTGATTCTGTACATATGTATTTTGGGCTGGATACACAAGATTTTTTCATTCATCTCTGCTTCGCCATGAGCTCACTTGTCTCGTCCAGTGGATCAGCATGTACACTTCCCTCTTCAGAGGCCAAATGTGTGACATGAGTCACCTCTACTCTTCTGTTTGATACGTATTCAGATCTGTTATGATGATAACACTTCTTTAATCGTTTACCTTGAGTCACAGCTAGCGAAGCAATTTCACACGTATGTTACGCATAGTGACTATTTGAACTTACCAACGTTGGATTCCTTGGTATCATGGTAGATACATGTTCAGAAAGTTGACAATTCGAAGTAAAGGAGGTAAACCGAATGCTAACTTCCATTGCCATCTTCTACTCGATTCTTCTCGCTCTCTCGGTTTTTGACTAGCGAAAAGGTGATACATGCCATTGCAGGTTACTGTTATCTCTCAAAGAGCCTCTAGAGTCCTATGAGGTGACCACTTCGACCAGGTAGGTATTTTAAGGCTACAAGACCTCGATATCACATCTCATAATCCATAGCGCCTCCATCCGATAAAGTCGGGAGAGTGCACATAATTAGAAGGTAAATTGGTTGACACAACCAGAACCTATATGAGACATGCAATTTACTGTAGGTGGTAGATGACTGCATCTTCTTCCGTTGAAATCCTTTCCTCTGCTTAGAAACTTCAGCATCCAGAGAACGTGAAGCATTCCAAGAAGCATAGTGATGAAACTTCCCCAGCATAAGAAGAAACCGGTGCTAGTGATTTTAAGTTCGTAGACACCTGAGGATTTTGATAGATTCTGTAAATTGGACAACAAAACGCTTCGAAATCAGAAGTTACCACTGACAAGCACTGATAGTCGAGCACCAATAAAAAGCTTCCAGCCATTGGCTGATTAGGCACCAAAAGGCTTCCGATACCCAGGAACTGAGGTTATGATAGAGAAGAGGGCATAATGCATATGAACTCAACGAATCCAGAAAGCTGGAATCACCGCTTCTGGCAACGTTATAGCTTGCGGTGTCTGTAACCAAGGCAAGCATTGAGATCTTCACACCGAAAGGAGGAAGGATGAACCCTCAAAAGGGCTTGATGCAACATGAACGAAGCACTCACGTTGCTATCAGGACTCAGATAAAAGACACCAAGCTCAACTATCAAAGCACCTTCTGCAGAACTGTCGTCCTTCATCATCAACAGGTTATAGACATGTATCCTGACGCCAAGGCTACTCGACGGCATAACGTACAATTACTTCAGTCAGGTACAAATCGCTGATGACTTCTATCTCACAGTTCCTGATATGAGGACCCACAGTTTCTGAAGGAAAAGTCTGCAAACGCGCAAAGAAACACAAAGGTTCATCAGCATTAGAGTTTGAATGATGTGCATCAAGACAATGCTATGATACATAACAGCCTTGATACGCAGTATTCGAAAATGAAACTGCTTACTCCATCGGCTTTGAGATTGTCTATTTATTTACAATCCAACTTGAACCTTCGGCTTTGGTGCTGCTCCTTGTAACGCTGCAATCGTTAGGATGTGATGATGAGTTCCCAATCACATCAAATATAATACATTAGACTACAGCACATATACTGTTTGAACAGATGAACTTAATGTCAACACAGACAAAAACGTTACCCCGAAATCAACTAGCTTTCAAGTGACACATAAATTGAAAAAGATGAAGAAAGTCATCCATGAAGTGTGTAACGCTTAGGAAACTGGAGTACCTGGACAACCTGGGTTTTCATGTTTAGTTTCTCGGTGATTTACAGTGCCCAGCAGTCACATATTTGAAGGCAAGGAACGGATCCACAAGACTATGCACTAAGCACTGGCATAAAAGTTTCATCCGGAGTTGGCTTCAAGATTTATCGATAAGCGCTACTGTAGGGCCCGAATGATTGTTGCCAGTCCCTGAACTGGTCCTGCAAGCTTTCCAATGCAGTCCACTCCTGCTCCTCTAGTTGATCCTCCAGCGGCGGTTCTATTCATGCACACACACAAAGCATTATATTAGTCACCCTTACATATTCACCCAAACAAAATTCACTAATTGAATCTTTCAATAACAGTTACTTAGGATCCATCAGCCGTCTCAACTTTAAGCAAGACATTTCAAAGAAAAAGAACTAGAGTATAACAGGGCGGAGAACTAGGCACCTTCGGCTAAGTTTGTGTAGCTGAGCTTGATTGGACACAGGAGTGTGTCTACGTTACTCAACTCATTCCCTTTCTGCGTCCCTTGGCTCTTGAAACACTTGCCTGCGACAAACTTACATGCGCGTTCTTCATTGAGCGACCTACGGAGCTTCTTAGGCAGCTCTTCTCGAGATTCGGCAATGTCAACTTGCTCTTGTACCGTATCCACGGGAGTCCAATTATCTCCACCATTAGGCTTGCTAAATATGTCCACGGTGATGCCGTACAGAAGAGGTTGAGTGTCTTCATCAAATTCTAGCCAGTCTTGTCTATTGTCACTCAAAGAAACAGTAGAAGGAACCTCCTTTTCAGCCAACTCCTTGAGATCGTTCTCTACGTGTTTATAAGCCTGTAGAAGAAGCAAGTCTCCGGGAACAACTTCCTTGTCAAAGTTAGATTGCTCTAAGATTTCACGGTTGGATACATTAAAATTATCCATCTCCCCACCAAAAGCAGCACTACCATTTCCACAGATCTGAAGTGCCTCGTTGTTTCCTTCCAACTTCCTCAGTTGTTCAACTTCGAGAAGAGCTGATAGAGGGACTGATGTGCGACCATATCTTTTCATACCTTGGACAGCGCTCTCGGAAGGTGATCCGGATAGCAGAAGAGGTAGAAATGAGCGTAGATTGTAGCCCTTGTACCTTCCTGCTCCTAAATCTGAAGGCAAGCTAGCGGCGCTGGTGGAGGATCCCTTACGCAAGACAGTGTGGGCCACTTCGTACCTGATTTTCGAAAGCAACGATTTTAGAAAGAGAGAAAAAATCAGTTACCTCGAAAGCCTTCTGCTCTCGAGGTAACGGATGACTTGACGTCTTAGCATTGAGAAAGAACTACATGAAGGAAAGAAAGTAGCATACAAGACGATGTAGGTAAGAGACAACTGACGGAAGAAACATTTGCCTGCAACCCGGCTGATCGTTCCAAAAACTAGCAGAAGAATATATTGCAAAGACACAGAGCACTAGTGAGGACTTCAACAGTCGATTTAAATGTCAGCAAAGATTCGATGGCCTGACCTACTTAGAAAATGTAAACATGTGACATGTGAATTTTCAGCTTAGGAAACAGTACATGCTGAGAGGAACACTTAGATGCTGTACAACTGTCTTCAGCTGCGATCTGAAGTGATTCTCGCCAAAATATTTCTCCATCTTCAAATCAAGTGCGGGATCTCGCTTCATTCCCTCTTGCTGTGAAATTCTTTTGTGTCTAACATTAGCCCCACCTTCAGACAGGTTATTTGCATCTGGATGGGAACAAAGAAGAGTAGATCCATTGAGAATATCTGTGGTGTGTTAAAGAAACATGACAAGTAAACACATACCAGCAAGTAGACCTTCTTATCTTTCTGTGTAGTGGAAGTCACTCATTACCCACTTTATTCCAGTTTGACTTTATAGTTCTCAAAATCATGCTCGTACGTGACGTTCTAGAATTTGCCATTTCTAGAATCACATTGGCCATGAATAAGGGTACCATATCAAGACAAGGTAGGGGTTGGTCTTTTAGATGTGAAAAACCACAATATTTGGAACCAAGATCTAGTGACATGGCTCGTTCCCTATGAGTATACACAAACGAAGCACATGAGAGGGTGAAGTTTTTAAAATGGACTCCATTGAATCGTTATCGGTCCCATTTGCTAACGATAAGACTAGGACGTCAATACGAGGTACGTGTACATCTTATGGGTGTGAGAAATGGCAACAAGCGGAACCAAATTCTAGTAACATAGCTTGTTCCCGTTGAATATATACATACCAAGCACATAACATGGTGAATTTACTTCATTTAATCATGGAATACAAACAAATGGTATTATCGAGATTGACTAGACAGGATACATCTTAAAAAAGCTCCAAGAACAAAATATTTGGGCTTCTGTGCATCCCACGGCTGTTCTTTCTCTGCATGTATAGGCCGACAAATGATATCAGATAAAATTGACAGGATTATTCGATGCACGACAAACACTTCACAAAATCTACGAACTTGAATTGTCCTTGGAGGTCCATCTACTTTATACGAAATAAATCCTGAGTATCTGTATGAGTATCAACACGTATGCAGCAATTATCGAAACAAAAGGAAAAGGTCGAAGTGCAACCTGCTGTTTGGAAGAAGCTATCAAGCTTGGCTTTAGGAAGAATAGTAGACTGATCTGTAGTCTTGTACTGCTGAAGCAAAATGTCACCGTACCCTGTCAACTGAAGCACTGAGAAACCCCTCCTCGAACTATTTGCATTACGTTCGTATGAATGATGAGACAAGAGGGAAATGCCTGAGATACATTCCAGTCCTGCTTTATTTTCGGGTGAACTGCGGACATTTTTAGAAAACTTAAAATCTGACGTGCTAAGTAGATCGTTCCAATCATTGGCAACCGATTTCGGAGGATATAGTTTCAATGGAATCTCCCAGGCATAGGTCACATCATCCCAATCGTAACCCTCAAAGTCCTTATGTGAACTCAGTGACACTTTTGATCCATAAAAGAATAGTCGCATGTCTCCTGACTGCAAATTTACTGCCACTATGACTCTACCTGGATGAACAACATTCGAGATATCAGCAAAGATGTTCCGAAGAAGGCAGGCTTCAGTGTATGGTGTAAATCGCTTCTTTCGATGATAAATTGCACACAAGGCAATGAAAACTGAACTTGGAGTCTCTTTTGCAATTTAGTATGTGTTTACCTTCAGTAAGAAATTCAAAATCAGTTTCTAAAATATAGAGCACTACTTTCAAAATGCCGTACCATTTTGGTAGAGTCTCGGTTTTCCACTGTCAGAACTAGCTTGCAAGGTAGAAGCTTGAAGCATGATGAGCAGATCCGGCGGCTCTTCCGTCATACCATGTTCCCACTAAACAGCAACAACATGAACGGGCTCAGCATGGACCAGCAATTAAAACCCGAACAAATATAAATGTGATACTAAAAAGAAAAATGCACTATGGAGTTTTCTCTCTAAAAACTGAAGAACTTACTCCGAGTCGGAGAGGTAGGGCTTTGAAATTGATAACACCACTACCATAGTTGACAAACAGAGTTGGATGTTCTAGTACCTAGCAGATTATGCACACCTGAAGAATAGCTGTTCCAATGCGCCGGGAATCAAAGAGCATCAAATGCTTCTCAGTTGCCACCGAAAACTTACACATGCCATCGTACTCAGCTCGGGCAAAGGCCGTAATATGCTCTGTAACAGGCTTCGTGTAACAGAAATTCGATGAGGCACGGGCATTGCGAACATCAGCAGCTACAATGATATCACATAAACATTTTGGACTTTGAAGACTGGTCGAACCCCTGCCTTGCATTGAAGACTCATATAAACGCTTTCCTCTGTAATCTACTTGTACAACTTTCCGTGACCCAGACAAAAGTAGTATCTGGGGATGCCATGCAAACTCGCACCGCCACCAAATCTTATCTTCAGCGTCGGCTTCTTCCAAGTGTTCTTCTCGAGGCCCCTGATTACTTCGCTCTTCACGAACGTCAATAGCCAGCGCGCTTATAGATTCCAAGTCACGATGTCTGAACTTGTCTCGTAGCAAATTTGCAGGGTTTTCTAAGGTGAGTTTGGCTTGCAGGTCCATCACACGGTTGTCATGGCCACTTCTCAAAATCGGAACATCAAACAACGAAACAACCCCACTTTCCAACATCACGGCTGCTTCTCTGTGCAGATGTGGGTTCCAGGTAACCTGCGAGAGCAAGGAGTAATGAACGATCTTTGAAGACACAATCAACACTTCATATGTGCACCAGCTTCACTTACCGCGATCTACAATGATGTAATACGAGAAGAACGACTCACATGCGAAACGTGAGTATGAAAGGTTGCTGCATATGTCGACATAAATCGTATACGCTCCACCTATCCACGTACCGAACGTAACGTCAGAGTCAACTATTTCGCACTTTCAGTCTTTCGCTAACAAAGAAAAGCTCGCATTCAACTTCAAGAGGCCTAATCGATGCGTTGAAGGCGCTTTACATGTTAGATTCCTGACGGACAGAAAAGATCGTTTGAGCGAAATAGTTGTACCCTGAGTTATAGAATACTCATCAAGACGACAGGAAAATTATCAACAAAAAGGGTTGTCTAGATCAAGATGGAAAAAAATCCCATGAAGCTCAGTTCTAGAGCCTATACGAAACAAATCATTCCACACAAATGGCAGGACTCTGAGCAAAGACTACTCCAAAATGTGATACATGAACTGGAAAATTATAAATTTCAAACTGAAGGAACGAAGCAAACGATCATGATCAGTGGTCTCATTGATCAACAAACAAAAGCAACTCTAAACTTGACCTTTCCAAACGTCACTCCTCTTTAAGATAGATCTCACCTCTCTGATAACGACGCAAAAGAACACTTGATAAGAGGTTCGAGCTGCGATATACACATGCCCGTTACGATCCTCGCCGTCTGTCTGCACCATTACTGCTGATAACTGCTCCTTGTACGCAAAACAAGTACTTCCATGAGAGACGAACATGAGAGCTAAGCTGACAGTAATTAAGGGATGCGTTGAAGCTGCTGACAGCCAAAAGGATTTCTGTAAAGCTCTCTACAGATAGCTTCACAGCATCCCGTCTGAGTAACTGCTCATTCTAAATCTTTTAGCGTCAGCTGAATATAGCGAAGCATATGATAAAAGCTTCTGCGAAGGAGTTGTGAAGGTGCTATAAGATATTGATAGTTCTGTTGTCAGATAAAAACGGATTATTACCTGAAGAATCGGTTGTCGTAATGAAGGAGAGACCGACCACTGGACTTCGTCCAAATCATCAAAACTTGCACCTGTTGAAGACTTCTTTATGGGATACCAGGCGCCATCAACACTTGGATAGCATAGAGAGCTGCCAATCTTCTCTCCCGTTTTTCCGCAAGGGAAAAAGATAATAATATTCCCATCACTACACTGCCATGTTTGTGAAGTGCTCAGGACAATCAGCTCTGTGAAGTGCTGAGAGAGAAATGACCAATGCTTTGAACAGACCGAGGAGTGCTTAAGCTTCATAAGATGATTAACATCCACTAACCTTCACGCTCTGAAGTCGGTTGCCATTATTCTGCTTCTTCTGAGTGCCCTCTGCTTTTATTAGAGCAGCATCTTCTTCCAAGTGATCCTCAAGAAGCCCAACGGGTACAAAAGGTGCTGCAGTTGAAAGCAGAAAGGACTTTGTTTGCTGGACAGGAAAAGAACAAGATTATTATAGCCTTCCAGACAATAATCCACCTGGATGGTACAGAATGTCACAGAGTTTCAGGACAATGACTAGGATTTATCATATCCAATACAACTGCAACAAACCCGTATATTTTAGTATCACATGGTCGATACTTAGAATGTGTGGGTTATAACAGCGAAGTTTTTTAAGGCGGGTACGTAGTTGCAAATATATTGCTGACGGATGTAAATTTAAAACTCGATGAAACCATATGAAAGTAACTACCCGTGTCTGACAAAGCTTTAAGATAGATCAAAAGTTGCAACTCACTTGTCTTGTCTTCACGGCAGCAGATTCCTGAACTTCGACAGCATGTCCAGTAGATATCAGGCATTCAGGCTTACCCACTTGGTTGAATATCAGCGGACTTACTGCAATTACACAGGCAGTGTTGCATTCGCACTAAAGTGAGCATGCAGACAACAGTGGGACTTTTCCATTCTGCAATTAGAACGAGAACTCCGCCATAATCGTCTGATCTTCACAAAACAGTACTTCTCAAATCTCAACTAAAAAACTGAACCTCCGTGGAGAGAGAACCCTTGGATCGGCATAATGTCGAGGGAGATAAAATAACATAATCCACTGCCACAACATAAAAGCAATGAGACTGGAAATTGTCGGAATTGTTCTTTATCTGAATTGCTTATTGGTAGATTGAGCGCACCGGCTTGCTGCGAGAAAAAGGATGGCACATTCGCTCGACAGATTGGGCAGACATTTGTCATGATAAGAGTGATGAAAACTCACGGTCGGAAGTGATGAGTTGCGGTGGTGAGAACACAGAACCCACACACCAAGGGGGGAAGGGCCCCTGCCTGGTTTCAAACACACCAGGATTTCCCGGCTCAAGCTCGTAGTCATCATTCCTCTCAGCAGCACGCTTGGCCATCCTCTAAAAAACGACAATGCGTAGGGTACAGTGCTTCGATTACGACTCTCAATTCTTAAACCCCTGCCGCTTCGGAATCCATGGCCTAAGCCCTAAACCCTGGGAAGGAATTTCCTCACGTGCCAATTCGTACTTATTTGGCAGATTCGATCCTGCAGTAAACGAACGCATTGCAACTCTGCACTTCCTGAGGGAGAAAGTCTGTTTATGTCCCGAGTCCAGAGATGATGGCCAGAATCGCTCTAGCCAGAGATGTGGAACCTACGTGACGATCGAATTCCCACGACCATTACCGAGTAGAAGACCATGCAACTGTCTGTAAGTTACTCATTTGGAGTGAAGTGGAAGATTAAAGTGGAGTGGGAGCGTTGCGCAGCCACTTCTGCACACACCAACTAATTTATAAATGAGCATTGAAAGCCCTCGAGGAAAGGCGAGGGACACCGAGCATCAAATCTCGACCAAGTCAGAGAATGCAATGCAAGCCGTGTCGTGGAAGAATGCAGGCATATTCTTCGGAAAATCAAAGAGACCCTCCTATTCGTGAATTCCTCGAAGGTTAATTTCTGGCTGAGGTTTTTCCTTCTAAGCAATCCATTGTAAGCTTTTCAGAGTTCGGCTTTAGAATGTTTTCCTTGAGTTGTATGGGGTGTTCCTCGTGGGTCAAAGAGCGTATATGATGTCATCGAACACTAAGAAATAATACGTTATGGTAGCAGTGGTGACATCCGTGATAACATGGTGATTTTGTAATATGTTTGTGTACGTTGTTGGGTTTCTTGTGTGCAATTTGAGCGTCATGTCGTGAGATTGGGCTACACGAAGAGCTTGATTGTTCATATGGCAAGGTAGACACCAATTTGGACTACGTAAGACGACAAGGTTTGTGTTGTGACACTTTCATATAAAAGAGTGTACTTGATTGGACATGCTCATTTGAGTCGGGTCAGTCTTGGACTAAGCCAAACATACCATTTGCTTCAAAATCAAAATTGATTGGTAGGTATATAAACGAGCTGCAAGCATATGTGGACATTATGTACGGTATGTGATTGTGTATGACCATCATTTACTGTTAATGCATCAAAGTTACTTCTCCTACCAATTGAAAGAGTTATTATCAATTTGTGGTAGTCAAATGGAGTTAATACTGCAATTAGTGTCATTCATTTTAGACATGATGATAACAAAAATTGGTAGAAATGGTTAGATATTGAACGAGGGTAAAATTTGACACCATGAATAAGTTGACATTAGCTGGTGATGGAACTTGGATTCCTTGAAGGTCACATTGGGTTTGGCTATACTCTCTCCTTAAAGCTATGGTGTTGAGTGGAATTGCGTGAGGATTATTTGAGAGTTAAAAGCTCGTTTTGTGGTATACTTGTGATGTTTTTTGATCATCTGTGTATAATGATGTGAACAACGTAGGTACTAGACACCTTTCTACCGGGACTACTTCTCTAATGTAAAGAAGAACAATAGGAAAGTTTTTAGCTACCGTTTATTCCAGATTAGTTAAGTCGTTGAAGCCTCGTTGAAAAAAAATTGAAGTGTATAGATGGTAGCCTCAATTCTACGAGTTCCTTTCCCTCCCAAGACAACATGAAGGGGAATATCCGGAATCCCGGTGGAAATTACAAAACACATTTCCGAGCTTCTCAAGTTTGAAGCGTGGACTTGCTGCAATGTGTTGTCAAGGCATTGGTGTCGCATCTTTGTCGGTGTTCTTCCCGCGAGCTCGGAAAAGAAGAGTAGCCAGTGAACGCCAACGAGTAGCAGCCATGGAATAGAGTCACTGAAATTGTGGTCAGCTCAGCTAATCCGAATTGAACCAGTCTCCAGCTGATATTACACAGTGTGGCAGCCGTGGTGTAGCTTAGAGGAAGACATGTCTCTGGCAGTGTTAGTCAATATTTTTAGAATTTCTCTCAAATTTGCGGAAGTTGTGATCATGACCTAGGTGAGGTGAATTGAGGTGAGGTGATGTGAAGGGCAGTCAACGGGCAGAACGTTTTGGCACCCGTCAGACACAAATTGAGCTCATTTCGGTGATCAATTATTGGAGCAAATCTCAAGATCAGAGGTCCGAGTGAAGTTGGTCTCACTGGGCGTGTAGCATTGTCTGGATGCCATCGACGGGAGCAACGTTGCAGGATGACCGTGTCCAGTGCAGTAGATCGAGAGGTCTGGACTTATTCCTGCCTAAGCAAGCAGAATTGGAAGGAATTAATGATTCCAGGTGACTGTTCCGAGGAATGACCGAGAATTCGTCGAAGTTTCTGAAATTTGCACTTGCACCTGAAATTCACCCACATTGGAGTCCCGGACCTGCAAGGATTCTCTCCACCTTGCAGAAAGGCTGAAAATAATGAGAGAAGTCCTAGGACGCGACCTCTGCCGAGTGTGGACTTCAATGTGGATTGAATAGAGTTCCAGATTCCAAGCCGGAGCACTGAGGCTTGCACTGTCATAGAACCAGGCCAGCAGTATGCCGGTGGCACGACCAGAGCCTCCTGACACAAGGGTCATAGCTCATGTTGACCTGGATTGTTTCTACGTTCAAGGTACTCTCTGTCTTGTCATGCCTTGTCTCTGCCCTCATGGACCTTCTTCAATATGAGAATTCTATGTGTGTGTAAACACGATTCTGATGTCAATTATGCAAATGCTGAAATCATGGCAGTGGAGCAGAGGAGGCATCCAGAGTTGAAGGGAAAGCCGACAGCAGTTGTGCAATACAAACCTTTTAGGGGAGGCGCAATAATTGCAGTCGGGTATGAAGCCCGTCATGCCGGAGTTACTCGGTTCGTCATCTAAATCCTCCTTGTCGCTTCGTTACGCACTTTGCATAATGTACTCAAATTTACTAACATTATTTTCCTTCTTCTTTGAGCTGCCTGCACTTGAAGCCTTTTTAATAAACTTTGAGGTAGTTTAATGGTCTTGGTAGCAACACCGTGAGTGCATCTCAATCTTTGATTGATGGGCTTTTCCTACCTGCTGTAGGCTGGGCTGAGGAACGTTTATAAAGAGTGGAAGAGAGATTTTCCTGATCAATTTTTCTTTCTCCCCAGGATTATGAGAGGAGATGACGCCAGGAAGCTATGTCCCGACATCAATCTAGTCCAGGTTCCAGTAGCACATGGAAAAGCTGATCTCACGATATACAGGGATGCGGGCACTGAGGTAAGAAGTGCATGTATCGGCTGTCGAGACTGTGCATAAATGTTTATCTGGACATATGTCACGTTACACTCTGACTGTACAGTGTCAGTAATCAATACTGATCCTTCCTCGATAGGATGTGTATGGTCTGGTCTCGTTCCGCGAGAAAGCCTTGATGGTTGTTGCTCAGCTTTGTATCTTTGACTAGAATGCTTGAGCTGTGTAGGTAAAGAAGTGGAGAATTTTAAATGATGATCTCCTGTACTTAACGTTTTGATGTTCGCTCCCAGGTAGTTGAAATTTTCTCTAGAATGGGAATCTGCGAGCGCGCATCCATTGACGAAGTATACTTGGACATTACAGAGGCTGCCGTAGTACGCCTCATGCATTCCCCTCCATATGCTGCAGATCATTACAGTGCAGAAGTTCTCGGGACTCATATTATTGGGCTCGATAAGGTGAGTGCTCACACCATCGCCCACATTTGATAGGCCCTTGTCATCTCTCGTTTATTGACTGGTCTCAGCAATGATGGTTCTAGATCCTATTTCGCACGTGATGCTCATTATCAGAGTTTATTAAACTCTTACTTTCGCAAAGGCAACTGTTGTTATCGTTGTCTTACTCTATTGTATACCTATCTCTGCTGAGCTTCCTGAAATGATCGTGCTCATGATTTACTTTGCCGGCTGTCAGGTAGTCTACCTGTCCATGAGTAGTAGACTACAAACTTATTTTCTGGTCGGAAGAGAACAAGTGGTCTTGGACAATATATGAAAGAAAGTACGCAAACTTCAGGAAGATTTTAATTTATTTGATTGGGAATTTCTACGTGTGCAGGATTCACATAGCAACAACGTGAAGGAATGGCTTTCGAGGAGCTTTGCCTCTAGGAGTGACCAACTCCTCGCCTGTGGGGCTTTGATAATATCAGAACTTCGTACAGCAGTGGTCAAAGAGACGCAGTTCACCACTTCTGCTGGAATTGCCCACAATAAGGTTTGCATTACAAAGAGAATACTTCCATTGACTGTTGTGTCCATCAGTGCGAGTTGAGTTTTGAAATATACAAAGTACGAATATTGCCCTCCTGATTGTCAAATGTAAAAGGAAATAGCAAGAATATAGTCTAGTTCCCACAGAACCGCAAAGAAATAAGACTTGGATGAGATTTTACGTTCGTACTAAAGCATGAGGGGATCTTAACTCGTGGTCTGACTGGTTCCACCTTCCGCACACACGCAGGAGTGTCTTTCCGTCAAGTTTCCTGGCAAAACCCTGAGATTCAGTCCGTAGACTTAGCTAGATTTATATGTGATTCCACTCCACGAAAAGAAGTTTGGGGCTACCTTCATCAGAAAGTCGTCGTACCATTATGAGTCTATATGATGCAGACCTGCTCCACGATCCTCTTGTATGAGAAGTGCCACGCTTTTGTCAGGATTAATGTCATCGGTTCAGGCAGTATTCCAAGTGCAAGGGCGCTCTTGGGGTGGTCAGGCAGTCTTTTTGCTGTTGGTCATGTCGTTTCCTATTTGAGATACGCAGGGTTAGATGATCTAGAACAAGTTGCTGTCTTGGATCTCAGTACACGAAAGAGAACGTATCCCGCTCGTCTTTTGCAGCATTTGCTGCGACACACCATTAACTCTTGTAGTTCTGCGGTCAATGGTAGCACAAGTACAGCATGGCATTTTGCAAAAATATTGTATCATTGCAAGAGAGCAAAAAAGTGTGAGTAAGCAGCCCTCGGTATACTGAGCAATATGTAATCGTCTGCTGACAATATGCAGATGCTCGCTAAGCTTGCAAGCGGTATGCACAAGCCTGCACAACAAACTCTTGTGCCGTCGTCGGCAGTTCAGGGATTACTGGCAACTCTGCCAACTAGGAAAATGTAGGTCGCCATGCATACGTCATTCACCTGCCATTCTCGAGATTCGTTTCCCTTGCCGTGCACGGAAGAAGGCTCATGCTCTTAAGGCTCAGTAATTTCGGACTGATGTGTCTCTTATCCATAGCCAGACCTGAAACCATATTCATCATCCCACCTTTTAATCTCGTTTCTGCTCTCACTAATATATTTCTCATTTTGTGAGATTGTCTCATACCCTGGACACACGTTGTGTTCTCCTCGCTGAAACTCTCACGTAGTAATGATGCAAATGAGGAAGTTTCATTCAGTGTTCGAGGTACACCAACATGGATCTGTTGTCCTTTGCAGTAAATACTTGGGAGGGAAGCTCGGACGCAGTTTGGAAAGTGATCATGGAATCAAAACCATGGGTGACCTTCTCCCATACACGGAATCAAAGCTCCAAAGCATGTATGGAGTCAATACTGGGTAAGAAGCAATGGAAGCCGGTCGATATATACGTATATGGTCTTAAGTTCACTGGTCACACGATGATGTTTTGGTGGTCCTTTGTCACATTCATACTGGGCCACATGTAAAATGGACTTGGCATTGCAGCCATCAGTATTTTGGCTGAGTGGCTGGCTGATGACCATATGCAGCACATGGCTCTGGAGGGTAGCAAGAGGCATGAATGGAGAGGAGGTAGAGGGACGCACGCTGCCAAAAAGCCACGGCTGTTCAAAGACATTTCCTGGCCCGGAATCGCTCAAGAATCTCGATACCGTAAGCTCTCTGTTTGTTGTACATTCTGCAAAGCTTTTTACATATAGGGAGTTTCGTTGAATTTTTGGCTTCTCAACAGGATGTTACTCTGGACTTTGGTTTCTGCTCTTTCATTCCATTCCAACGTGAGAACTCTAAACTTCAGAACAGTTTCGGACGAAATTGATGTCCAGATTGTCTTCGAAGACCTTTGCACTCATAAGTCAATTGCTCGATATGCAGGTTGGGCATTGGCTTTCAGAGCTATCTGCGGAGCTTCAGGAACGCTTGGATGAGGATTTACAGCTACATCATCGGAAAGCTCGCCTGCTTGTGGTTCATGCTGCCTGCCACATTGTAAGAATGACGTGTGCTTTTCTCATCTTCGCTAATTTGGCTTACGTTGTGGTTGGAAGCAGCTTTCTTTCGGGAACTTATGGGGAGTTTTTCCCATTAGGAGTTCCACACCAGAAAGCTGATTCTTGCTCCTGTGCAGGTTGGGAGAGCATCAAATACCAACTCGAAGCCGTTCCCGTCCAAGTCTTGTGCGATAAGATATGGCAAAGAGAGAGTAGCTTCTGACGCTGTTCAGCTCTTCAAGCGTTCTTTAAGTGAATTCTGTCCAGATGTGCCGAAGTTGTCTCCAGTCAAAGGAGAGTCTGGTGGCTCGAGCTGCGTGTGGGCAGTGACCGGACTCTCAGTAAGTGCGAGCAACATGTACGAAGTGCCCGCAGTAAGTTTTTCCATCCTTTCGTTTTTAACTTCCAGGTTGTTGATTTGACAAATACATTTCGTAAGAAGAACGTTGCTTTTCTATCTCGCCAGTGCATGGGCATAGTTCTAACCAGTTGCTAATGTCCTGCACCTCACATGTGAAATTCATACCAATCCAGTTGTCGATCTTCCAAATGTTTGTGTCCTCGTTTGTTGGGATAGTTCACACGGGTGGTGCTAGAATCACAACCATTGCTCTAGCAGCGTTGACTCCTTCCTGCCCTGTGAGCTATATGATCTCTGGGACCATCCTTCCCAGATTCTTCCGACTTGTACAGAACATAGTACTCTCCAAGTAAGACAGCGATTTAGTCATCGATCCTTACCAGAAGTTCATCATTTTTTACTCGCAGTAACTGCGTAGAAAAGATCAAGACCAAAGCGGAACCGGTGCATTTAGTGACTCGATTTTATTACCTTTTTCCAGATAAGGCTCCCAACCGATGCATTTAGAAGACCTACTTACCATAGATGGATGCTTTTAGAGCCTTTATTGTTCTTTGAGCCTGTTGCTAGCAAGAGACGAACGCTGCTTTCCCTCAAATGTGTGGTGGTTGTGTGGACAGGGTATGGGTACTATCACTCGGTTTTTCGGTTCTCCAGCAACGTCAAGTTCCAAAGAGAAAGCAACAGGCACAACAAGCACTTTGCCTTCATCGCCAGTGTCTGACGTGTCGGATCAAGCAGCAGGCACGAGACATGAGAGAGTTGGTGCCGAGTTTCCAGAGGAGGTCATAAGCCTGAATGAGCCAGATGACAAGATCCTCAGTTTTTTAGACGCTAGTATGTTTCCTTGTAATTCTTTAGGGAGCTTGGAAAATGACGAAGAGGCCCATGTTCCTTCCCCCTTCGAAACGGATGCCGAGCCAAAGTCTCACAACAATGAATCTGAAGCACCGGCTTCGCCAAATGCCTACGCAGTACTGAGCGGACGAGAAGGGTCGGCATGGACGCAGGAACGTGAAGTATCTCGCTCACATCTGCAATCAAGTTTGTGCCCTCCTTCAACTCACGCAGGAAGCCATTCTCGGAGCTGTAAGCCTGTAAAGCGAAACCTGATGGATCACATAGATCCATCAGCTTGCAATGATAAAGACTGGGTCTGCACACCCACGTTCGGAGAAGTCAGTAAATGCGCACAACCTCCTCCGACCATCGAGCTTTCAGATATTTCTTCAGATTGTTATCCAAAGGACGCCATGGCCGACGGATCGACCGGCACTAACTCAGCCCTGGAAGCAAAAAGTGACCTCGCTGACGGGATTTCTGTCTCTAGAAACAATGTCCAGGTTATTCTGTGCTCACCACTTGATTTCAGGCTTCAGGAAAACCTGTCCGTAGGCTCAGACGTTGAGACAGAACGTGGTCCACAACTCAATCTCCCCATGACAGATATTCAACAATCCTCGTCAAGCACGTCAAATATTGTTGGCGGTAGCCTCCACATGCCGTCTACAGAAGATCTCAAGTTAGTGCACCCGGTGCTAACCGACCAAGTGGAACCAACTGAGCTTTTATCTGAACCCGTCGAAGAGTCGAGAACTTGTCAGGCTACTCTCGAGGGGCCATGGCCACTTTTTGCTCTCAAACAAAACTCGGAACAACCACTCCCTCCTCGATCTGCAAGCTCCATTGTCACTTTACCTCACCAGACCAACCCAGAGCATAGTACCAGTAGTGCTGTTCAAATTGTTCTTCCAGATCAAGCAAACTTATCACCAACTCTAGGACTGGAAGCAAATGCGAATTCCCCCGCTGCTAATGTAAATTCAGTATCACCCAATTTCCAATCCAGCAACAGGGGCGAACTCCATTCAGGTGCGAATCGACAAGGTTTAGGTTCTCGGCGTAGGACTGGGTTCTCTAGAGTCGATGAACTGTGGGAGAAGTGGAAGGTAGCCTCTCAGAGCTCGGCCACGACTCCAGAGACGGAAGCAGGCTGTCCTTCAGTAGGCGGCACACGCGAGCAGAATGAAACTGGTCAACGTGGTGAAGGCATGCGACGTGATTTTCAAGTGGACGGTAGGCGATCCAGAAAGAGGAAGAAGTCGACTATAAGCGACTTTTTTGTGAAGAGTCCGTCAAAGTGATGGATCGTTCTCGACGTTGCACAATTGCTGTACTATTGCCCAGAATGTACACATTAAAAGCGGCTCTGCGTCGGCAGACCAGGTGCACTGTGGCATTCATACGATGCCGAAGTCTGTCGATTGTACTGTAGGCCGGATGTTCGGAGGGAGGAGGCAAACATTTATTTGGTAGAAAAGGAAGGTCTGTATCATTCGGAGAAGTTTCCGAATTGCAGACAATCCGGCTGTAATAAATTGCTCGTCCGAGACTCGGAGTAGCAAACATTACGAGCATCTTCCTCGCAAAGCTGTCAATCATGTGTTCACGTCCTGTCAGCTGACCGGACTTAGTAAATACGTTGCTTGCTCAGTGTACCGATACTCTAATTAACCACAATCCTGGCATCTGATACACCAGCTGCATGTATTCTTACAGTGTGTCAGCGCCCAGGCCCCGGTGCCCATCAAGAATCCTTGAAGTTCGTGTACGGCAAAGGCACAGGAACTTTCCGAGCGAAAATGATTTCGATGAGGAAAGTTGATGATCTGGTTCCTTGTTCGCAAACTGAGCTGTCATCGGCTAGTCCTTGATTCTAGTCGCAAAAGGCTATGCGTCAACACACACCTGAATTGACTATCTGCGCAACTGGTAAGTTTAATGAAGGCTGATGTGCTGTGGTTGGAACGCCTGGGAAGCTTCAAAAGAGCCATAGGACCAGCAAAGCGTACGAAGACTAGGGTGTGAGCTGGAACTTTTCTCGTGGCGTTGAACGACAAATCGTTGTATCCAGTTCTGGCATGCGCTCAGTTAGACTCCGCACGAAATCAGCATTTTATCCAATTTTTCTAGTTCGGGGTCGGCAGATCTCGGATGACGAAGGATGCATTCAGGAGATACCCTCCCAAAAGAGAAGGCTGGGTCTCTGGGACGCCGTGACTACGTAATTATGCTGCGATGTCCTACCCTCACGGGCCTCGACGAAAAGCCTGCCAGAATCCCACATATGCGCAGGTCTGGCCGTCGCAGGTGCTCAGGTCAGAGTTCATCGTGTAAAAGGTAAGTGTGAATTTCCAGGAGAGCCGTAATTCTTGGCTCTTTGGGAAGCAGGAGTGATATTCACTGTGCAAAAAGAATAATCATGGGAATACATGTTTTCGAGTGTAATGAAAGGGAAGTATGGACGAAGATTCGTTTGTACCTCCGCGTAATTATTGGCCCATTAGTGTCATGCGGCAAAGTCTTCCTACACACAAGCCACCTGAACCTTTTGCGTCAGCTGCTTTGCAACGTAAAACACATGTGTTTAGCAACAAGTCTCGCTCTTGACAAACGTCTTAGCCCCATCTCGCTGCTGAGGCTCGCCGATTTGGCCATGTGGAGGAGCCCCGGCCCGTGACTTCGCATACAATAAAGTTTATTGAACGACGATCCAGCCGGGACTTCGGTCCCACTTCTCTCATGAACATCTTTGTTCACTGAAATGGCGGTTGCTTGTGGTCAGCTGCTAGCAACCGTCAAGGTTAACGACATCGCTTAGCGGTAAGTACTTCAATGGCGTAAATGAGTACGGTCTGATGTCGGATGTCGACAAGATAGACGTCAACGTGTTCTTCCTTCGATTCTCCACACTCCGGACACCTCGTACCGAAAAGTTCATGCATAATTAATATCGATCGATGTCCTCGACCTTAAGAAACATCAGCCGGGGTTATTTTCGCTTGTCCCGCACTGTGTTTCCTTCTTCTCGAACGTCATGTCCTTGCGCAATGTGGATACTGGTATCCCAACAACAACCTACTCCGGGAAGGAAATCCCTGAGATCTTGGGTGAGAAACATGGTCTACCTGTGATGGGCTTTTGAAAAAACTTGTCTTAGCTTGCAGCGAAAACAAGAAAGATAAAGACGTCCTAGGAAGACTCGTTCTTACGAATCGCACCCACCATTCTGGAGCACCTCGGACGACTATATCTAATTCATTCTCGGGAGTTACGAAGGCTATAAGTGGAAAATACAACATTGCCGATGCTCATAGACACGACAGCAAGTTGAACTTAACAATGCATACAAAACTCTTCGACCACTAGTACGATGACAACGGAGATGACAGAACAGTATGATGGAGTTTCATAAGTTTTACATGCATCACTGCAGCTGGTAAGGGAAAAGTGCAAATACTGACCGGCCAGACCGAGCTTGATTTCTAGAATATAAGAAATAATCAAAAAATTTGGATTCATGAGAGGCAGAGCGAGTAAAAAGACAAAGTAAAGAAGGTAACAACTGTACATACTCATACTTTGATGACCTGTTGCGAACCAATCGTGAAGAATCCCATAGGCAACTGGATATTAATGAGCTCATCACACAGAATTTAGGAGCTGGATTGGGTGCAGTAAAAAAAAGTTCTTTTACATTGAAAGCAGCAATAAGACTGTGATCCAATAATTCACGTGTAATGTACTTGTATATAAACCAGGTCGCAGAAAGTTGCAGAAAAGAACAAGCACAATCAGAGCATGATTGAACGAACTACGGCGATGCTTCTTCGAAGTTCTCTTCACAGACGATTACCGAGAGTGCCACTGAGACGGTTCTCTAAAGTAATGGTCGAAAAGGTCGTGTACAAAATATGGCTTAGTCACCAGCCCACACAATGAACCACTGTAGAGAATGCACAAATCATGGAAGACGACCACGAATTTCCGAAGCGACCCACAAGTGACCCAACACACCATTTCTGTGGGCCTGTAGGCCACAGCCAAAGGATTTGCCACGATCGGCTCCTGGCGCCGGACCTGGCGCCAGGGGCCGGGCAGCGCTGCCTGCGGTGCATGGCGCCTCCCGCTCTTGCCTCCGCAACCTCGGGCGATAACACGATCGAGTCATGGATGGACGGACCCATCCATCCATCCATCCATCTCCGAGCACGGCCAGCCTCCTCCTCATCCTTGTGGGCGAACGAACTCACGCTGTCCCTACGCTTCCGGTCGGGACTCTCAGTTCTTCTTGTTACGGCGCTTGCCGGTGGCTCTTTCCGTTAGTTTCTTTCCTGGGCCGGAGGAGCCGATGTCGCGAAGATCGTTGAAAATCGACGAGACCGTCAAACACGCCACTTGACAGGTGGCTGTCGAGACCGGGAACGTGCTCGTGCGAAGAGACATGTTTACTGTACTGCGCAGGTGCTGTCCCTCCGTCTTTGGACGGCTGCCTAGAGCTGCAGTACTGTTTCGAATTTCTTTCACAAATGATGTTTATAAATTGAGCACCACAGGATCTATTTTTCATATTTTAGAAATTCCTAATGAATATTACTTCTGATTTGCATCCCTTTACCAACAAGCTAAAGAAAGAAGCGGCTACTTATGTTGCGAAAAAAAGTATGGAGTGATAACATCAAATATTATCCAGTGGTTTCATGTATGGGGCTTAGGGTTCAGTGTAAGATTGCAACAATAACATGGGAATATGTCGCACTTCATCCAAAATATTCTATGATTTAGATCACTTGCAATATCGGAGCACTTGAATAAACGTCATCTGACAGTATTTTTCCGTCCTATAGTGCACTAAAAATTTATCTGAATCTGTCATCCATAACACGCGTACTTAAAATTGTTTCTAAATTCATATTTATGTGACTTAGTAGGGTAGATATGGTCATAGTATCTTGAAGATGCTTAAAAGTTGAATAACCATTAATTTCGACATTTCAACTTGAGAAAATAAAACACACTTTTAGTTTGCAAGCTATAAAGAAGATAATTTTTATAACATAAACTTTTGTACTCACAAGAATTTAAGCTTCAAAATCTTTCATCGTCATTTTTGTATATGTTCATATACTTTTCTGGATGTAGCTTCCGATGTCAAATCACGTATTTTGTGTTGACGTTTTTTATATGCTCGTGTAGGCGTTTTGGTGTGTCTGTGTTTTGTGTGTGTGCTTGTAACCTCGTGAAAATCCGCAAAAAGTGTTATCAAAGTTAAGAAGTATGATGATAATCGGATAGCTCGTTTGTTGAGTTTGGCTTCTCACTCCCCGCAGCAAGAGAGTTGCATTTTGCACACTTTACTTTTTGAGTTGAAATTGCAAATGGAGATCCGATATCAAGGACCGTGCTTTCCTTCCGGACAAGAAGGATTACAAAGCAAGACGGAGGCTAGTGCAAGACGGGATAGGAAATTGGAGGATAGTCTATTGAGAAATTTGGACAAATTGGTGCTTGCTTGCAAATTCTTCTTATTCTTCTTTGGCCTCCTCTCATTCACTTATTGAGTTTGTTTCTGATGGTTTATCATCCAAAGAGTGGTAGTAAAAAGAATCAAAGACAAGGAGAAAGATGAGGAAGGACAAGCCGGAGCACATGGGTTGACAAAGGATGGAGAAGTGGATTAAAGTGCGGATGGATTAGCAAGCATCTTCATCTTCAACTTCAATTTCCCTGTGCTTGAAAAATCGTTCAAGTTTTTCATTGGTAGTAGCTTTCATTGTCTTCAAATTGGTAGTAGCTATCATCGTCTTCAAGTACACAAAAACTTTGTTTGCATGATCCGATCGGCAAGCTTGTATTTGTTGGATGTAGTGATAGGTAAACAAGCAACACACTTGTAGTTGCACCTGGCTCTGGTTTCATTTTCTTCCGCTTTAGTTCAATGCTTAAAGAGATTAAAGATGTTATGAAATTGTTTTTCCTTCTCTGGGTATCGATGGTTTGAAATTTAAAGAGTGACCAAAAGAAAGAGTCATATAGTTGCAATTTCACATTCCAATCATTTCGATCGGCGTGTTAATTTTCAATCCAAGAGTAACATGAAAAAGATGGATCTTGAGTGAAAAAGAGAAGTAGACAAAAAGTATAAACCAGATGAATGAATAAGAAAGAAAGATTTGTGTGCATGCACAATTTTCTTCAATGTGTGTGGAGGTGAAAAAAATGGATTAAAAATTTGAGTAATAGAGGGATGGCAGTGAAGTATATTGTTGTTGAAGATTGTTGCAAGCATTGCAAGTCATTTTCAGCTAAGAATACAAAGTTCATAAAAAAGCAAAAATTACCTTTTAGCTAAAGACTCATGACGCTGTTGCCCTCACTGATATTGCAAGGAGATATTCCGTGAGGATGTGTGTTATGTGAATGAATAATGTTTTTGTGGACATTTTAGCCATTTAAGTTTTTTAATCTATAAAAATAGATTAAAAAACTTCAACGCTAAGGACTTTTTGAGTAAGAAAAACGGCAGGAAAACATATCATATTTGATCTACTTTGAAAATCAAGCAAATTTTCTACACATTGTTCTTTCCAAAGTGGATCATTTTTTAACAATAAACATCCGAAGAATCAAAATCTATGCCATTGTTGCAGCAAAATTAGATCCCAAAAAAAGACT